TCTGCTGCATTTAGTAAAGCTATCCAAGCTCACGATCTTCACACTGGCATGGATGTTTGTGTAAAGATCATAAAGAACAATAAAGATTTCTTTGACCAGAGCCTTGATGAAATAAAGCTTCTCAAGTATGTCAACAAGCATGATCCCGCTGACAAGTACCATTTACTTCGGTTGTATGATTACTTCTATTATCGAGTAAGTAAAATTTCTTAGTTTTTCTTCAGTTAAACTAATATTTCATTCACGTGGTGCGAACACCCCTTTATAAAAGTTGTGTACAGTAAGTAAAGAACCTACACAAGAACAGGGTTCTTTACAAAATTCAATCATACATCTTGAATAAGTTTGTTTTTATAGAACAACAAATATTGCCCTAATTTGTACAGTTTTTCTCACCACCTTCAAAAGCTTCCTATTTTTTCTCTCCATATAACCAACATTTTGTGGGTGCTAGAGGAACTGCAACCGGGGTTCTGCATCTTCTTTTTCCTGTGTGAATGCCCAACTGAAGATAAATCTTTGACCCATGCTGGCATCAACCTTAGCTTTTCCTACCTTAGTTTTCTATATTATGTGCCTCTTTCTTTTTAAGTGGAAGTCTTCCGATTCTTTATAATAAACGGAAATTTTCTAATTGTAAAAATAGCAACTTATATGTAAGATACCATTCTCTATGATCAGCACAAAGAGGCCTGATATAAGAATCAGAACAAATATGGGGCTGAATATGTACAATTCAAAAACTCTATCGCTCTTAAATATTTTAGGAAGTAAAAGGAAATTAAACAAAGTTGTAAATCATATACAATCAACATGTAAAACTAGAAAGCCAAAAAAGTATCAAACAATGTAATAAACTTAATGCACAGATTCAACCTGGCCCTTGAAGCACACCTCTGTTGGCTTTCCTGCTATACCTTCCAAAGGTGGGTGCTGGAAGGTGAACCGTACTTTCTTTGTTCTTTAACAAATTTTCTGTCTGACCAGCCCAGTAGCATGCCACTTACTGTTCTAACAACTGCCCTACCAAGTCCATATAAATCAGAAAACACGTCTTAAAGTTAATTTTTCCACTTCACAATGAAGGAATATTGTTAAGATCTTCAGCTTCTGACTCACACATAAAGTATCTATAAGATAATGAATCCCCTCCTCTGCAAATCAGAGTGAGTCAGCTGAGCTCCTGGTCTGCAATCCAACAACCTTAGGAGGAGCTTTACTTTGTCCCTAATGACCGACCCTTTAAGGCCAATTACAAGTGTGTGAAAGTGATGAAAGTAGTTTTTTGCCAGATTTTGCATGATTGGTACTGTCCTTCTGGTGTCTACACTTCAATGCATATCGAATTTTATGTTAACTGCACCTTCTAAAATTTTAAAGCTGAACAATCTTTTTTACTTCCCTATTATTGGAATTCCTACTAAATGCTAAATTCCATCTATTCTGTGGTCTATGCTGGGCCACTGTCTCTGTTTTGAAAGCAAAACCATATAACTAAGGAAACTCCTTTATGTACAATTTTGAATGATAAGCTGAAGAAACTTTTGGACTATGAAATGCAATTCGTGACTGATCGTTGTGTTTGTTATCAGGAGCATTTGTTAATTGTATGTGAGCTCCTTAAGGCAAATCTTTACGAGTTCCATAAATTTAATAGAGAATCTGGAGGAGAAGTCTACTTTACCATGCCAAGACTGCAGGTTTGTCACATGGCTATATCCATAAAGATTTTATGCCATCAATGATACTTCTCTTCTGACTCAATATGAATCACTGCTGCAGTCAATCACTATTCAATGCTTGGAGGCTCTTCAGTTTTTGCATGGCCTTGGCCTTATACATTGTGACTTGAAACCTGAGAACATATTGGTGAAAAGCTACAGTAGATGTGAAGTGAAGGTGATTGATCTAGGAAGCAGTTGTTTCGAAACCGATCATCTTTGTTCTTATGTCCAATCTAGATCCTACCGCGCACCTGAAGTTATTTTGGGACTACCATATGATAAAAAGATCGATATCTGGTCACTTGGCTGCATCCTAGCAGAACTTTGCACGGGAAATGTAGGTTCTTTCTTTATGCGTTTGTGTTTTTAAAACCTCTTTTTACCTAGTGAAAGTATGATTCTGATGTTACTGATGTTAGGGATCTTTCACCTGTCATACCAGACACTATGGTAGTTCCTAAATTATTAATCCCCTGTCCTCGCATTTTTAAGAGGCTGCAGAGTTGATTTCTGTGATTTGGGACTCATTACGATGTCGTGGACTTAGATGTGGCACCAAAACTCTTGGAAGCCTTAATATTCTCTGCCATGTAATTCTAGTGTCTAAGAAGGTTTCTGGTGGTGTATGCCAAATCCCATTTTAAAGGAAAAATTAGTATCCTTCTCCATGTTTTACTATACTAGTCGTACTGCTATGCATTTACTGCAGCTTTTAATTTTGACACCCTTTTGCCTGCTGGGTGACATTCTTTTTAAGTGGAATTGGATGAAGCAGACCTATTAAAGTGGCATGCCTAGTGCAGACTAGATGGAGCCAACTCATCTGTTACGAACTAATATTTCATTAAGTGTATAGAAGCTCTCTGATAGACTTGGAATATTGGTGACAATTAGAAAATTTATATATAGTTTGACAGGCAGGAATAGTCAAATAACCTTAGTTTTGTATATAGTTTGACAGGCAGGAGTAGTCAAATAACCTTAGTATTATGATACTGCAGTTCTGTTTAACACATATCAATGTGCAGAGAGCCAATCCTTCTTGAGGACTAATATGCATTATCCAGTTGAGCCCCTTGAACTCCTGGGAATGGAAAAAATCATGTTGGGAGTGCCGCCCCAGAAATGGACTCTGCAATGCACTACCCAGATTTAGTTGGACCCCAAGGCAGATAACTGGACACCGGTTGGGAAATCGAAAAAAAAGAAGAAAAAGTTGAAAAAAAAAAAAGTAAAGCAAAAAGCTAATGACCAATAGTTAAGCTTACATGCCATTCATTCTTCGCCAATATGTTTTCAGAGATAAAGCCTTCAATCTTCATGTGTGCTTGTTATGACTACTTGTTTTGTTTGATGCTCATACAATGCATACAGGTTGCTTTATTGTAATGTTCTGATTCCAATATTGCTCCAAGTGGAAATTGAAGACTTTTTATGTGCAGGTGCTTTTTCAAAACGACTCTCCTGCCACATTACTCGCTAGGGTGATTGGTATTATAGGTCCCATTGAGCAAGATTTGCTTGTTAAAGGACGAGATACTTATAAGTATTTCACCAAAAATCATATGCTGTATGAACGAAATCAGGTAAACTCTCTCTCCTCTGTGTGGGTTGGGTTACGCTTCAGTGATTTACTATATCTAGTATCCTCTCTGACGACTCACCTTCAGAAGATCAATACTATCTGTTTTATCTCCTCAGTGATTTACCAACCTGCAGGAAGTCAAGCTTAAATGTATTTTGTTGTTTTGTTTTTGGTGTACAAATGTCTACTCCAATGAGACTGAGTCAATCATAGATGTTTTAGGGTCCATCTAGAGTTTGGTTTAGCATTGGAAAGACCATAACCTCTTTCTTCTTTTTTGTAAATATGGTTTTTCAGTACTACGTAAGTACTGACTGAAATACAAATGTTACTAGTGTCAAAAAAATAAAATACTCTCTGTTTAATTGAAGGCAAAATTTTTATCTTGCTAAAAGTTGATTTGGTGATAAGATAAGATAGATAAGCCTGGGACAATATATATATCGCTCAGAGAGGCCATTGGTCCTTTCTTCAAATTCTTTATCCTCTTAATGAGTCAATGAATGGTGATATTATACATATACAAAAGACTCCCATTATTAGAGGGCTACACTTGAAATGTTTTCTGTTTTTGTGTTGCTCTATCCGACTGCTGCTCTCTAATATCAATTCTTGATTACTGTTCTTTCATTTTTTTTAGGAAACAAACAGATTGGAATGCTTGATACCCAAAAAGACATCCTTGAGACATCGTTTACCAATGGGGGATCAAGGATTTATAGACTTTGTGGCTCATCTTCTTGAAGTAAACCCAAAGAAGCGTCCATCTGCCTTGGATGCTTTAAAGCATCCATGGCTGTCATATCCATACGAACCAATATCATCTTGAGTAGTATGAGCATTCTTTGGCATTTTAACTTGCTGAAGTTGTGCAATTGCTCCAATTTGGATGCTCCAGTGATGAGATAGGAAGGATATCTCCAAGGTGGTCCGCATTTCCTTCCAAATCACTGAGCTGTATTTCTATTTTAACCCAACTGAGAATGTAGTCTTTGCAAATGTTATGTAACATTAGGGTTTTCTGTCTTGTTTGATGGAAGGGGATGCATGTTGTTTGTACATGATGTGTGTTGATTCTTTTAGGTGTTTAGTGATAGCTTGTGAAATAGCTGTTTATCCAATTTTGGTTGCCTTTTCCCTCATTTGCAGCAATGTATCAAATGAAGGAATATCAGAAACATATATTTTCACGTCTGACATTTTCATCGATGGTCATAATGCAAAATTCCACTTGATGATTTTTTTTTCCGCGAGTTCTCTATTCCAGTGCCTCCCTCCCCTCTCTGCAGTAGCGCTGAATCGCTGCATGTCTAACTTCTGCTAAGATAATATTTGATCATCCCTCGATAGCCATTACACAAGGTAAATCTGTGCACATTACAGTGGTATACCATGAGTTGCAAGAATGGTAATATTTGATAGATGATTCTGAGCATAATGTTTTATTAGTGTTACAAATTTAAGGCAAGGAAATGTGTATCAATTGCTTGCTGAGCTCAAATAACATTGTTAGATATGTTACCAACGTATTACTGAAATGGTCGAGGTCCAAGATAAATTAACAAATATTGATCGTAATAACCTTGTACAATTTGAACGAAGAAAATAATTCATTTAACGTGTGTGGATGAATATTTACGTCATTATTCGCAGAACTTCCTTCTTATTATAGGGGTTTATTAGCACATTTTCAGTAATATGATGATTTTCGTTGGACATTTTAAAAAAATAATACGGGGTTTAGTTATACCTTTGAGAAAATGACAGTGTAAATCAGATTAAGCCCCAGGGAATGGAGAAGATGGAAACAGAAATCGGCATGGAAGAAATTGAAGAAGAAGCACCGAAAAATTCATCGTTGTTTCCTGTTTTCCCTCAAACTCAGATATCTTCAGCGTCCAATCCCACCACCTCATACAACGCCGTTCCTGAATGGCTTCGCAATTCCAGCTTCACCACCGACATCTCCGTGATAAACGACGCCGTTTCGACGAACTATGGGAATGTCCAGTTCGAAGAGAATCTAGAGGAAGACGAAGCAGAAGACGTGGAGAAGGAAAATCAGAAAGGAGAGGGTGCACCGTATGAATTGCTGCACTCGTCCGGGTCGGAGCGGGGACACTCGTCTTCTTCTGATGATGGAAGAGACAGCAAGAAGAAGAAGCGGAAAAAGAAGCGCAAGAAGAGTCATCGATCGAGTGATGACCGTCCACTCTATGACTATGCACTTTCTTCTTCCAGAAAACCTGATGTTCGAACTTGGGCTTCTTCAGCTGCTGCTAATGTTAAAGACTATTACTTCGACTCTCGTGGCGATCGAGACAATTTAGCTTTTGGTAGTATCTACAGGTGCGCCTGGTGCTTCTTTTTTTTTTCCTTCCTTTTAGTTATGTAGAACAAGTAAATAGAAATAAGAGTCGTGATGGAATTTGCTTGATGTAAACATAAAGATACTTGAAAATGTTAGGAAGTTACACATTGCATTCTTTTACACCTTTTTTACTGCTTGGAGAAGTAGAACAAGTAAACAGGAATGAGTTGCAGAGGCACTGTAATTTGTGTTAGTTCTTAGCTTGATTTACATTACTTTATTAACTGTAGAATCTTCTGCTGTACTGTAGAATGGATGTTGCTCGTTACAAGCTTCATAATCTGAGGAAAACCTCTGAGCTCAATTACTATAGGCGGAACGATAAGAGAACTTTTGAAAGGGATATTGATATTGATGCGTTGGACAATAAACTAAGGTCTGGAGGTCGCTATTGGTCTGGCGCGTATGCTGCAATTGAGCACCATAAGAACCTGAAGCGTCTAAGAATTTTGACTCCTCTCAAGCCAATGATTAATATTCCTGCTGATTTCGTCTCATTGGCAGATGAAGTTAAGTCAGATGAAGGAATTAGAGGAGATGCTATTTCAGGCAATGCTGTGGTCGAGGAATCTCTGGAGGATGAGGTCTTTCGCAAAACAAAGGAGTTCAACAAGATGACAAGAGAACGGCCACATGATGCACAAATTTGGTTGGCTTTTGCACAGTTTCAAGATAAGGTAGCAAGTATGCAGCCACAGAAAGGTGCCCGTTTGCAAACACTTGAAAAGAAGATTAGTATTCTGGAGAAGGCTACAGAGCTGAACCCTGACAGTGAGGACCTGCTTCTCTCTCTTATGAATGCTTATCAGAGCAGAGATAGCATTGATGACCTGATTAGCCGATGGGAGAAGATACTTATCCAAAACTCAGGTAGTTGCACATTGTGGAGAGAATTTTTGCGGGTTGTTCAGGGTGACTTTTCAAGATTTAAGGTTTCTGAAATGAGAAAAATGTATGCAAATGCAATTCAAGCTTTATCTGGTGCATGGACTAAGCAGCATAGGCAGGTTCTCATCTTTTACATACTATGCTTTCTTTTTTGTGCATAAGATATTTATTAATTTGAACATACTGTGCTTTCAAAAGCAAAAACCGCAGAAACTGGCAAGGTCCATGAGGCTTGAAGCAAAGCATACACTTCTTTGAAGTGAAGCGCACAATTTACAGAGAACTAAACAAAATATATATTGATTTGGTACTACAATCAACTATTTCTATTACAAATAACCAATTTCAACAACCAATATACGGTGATGCCGACACATCCAACCTCTCGGAGTTGAGATTCAGAGTCGCCTGCTTCTCATTTGGATCACTGTGCTCGTCATTGTTTGACGCACATGGCTTCAACCATGAGGCGATAATCACTAGCTTTGCATCATGCATCACTCTTAGTAGCAGATGACTTTTAACTATACTAGAACCTACAGATTTCCAGTTTTGATACTGTTCTGGAAATTTGATCCTTGAACCTGCTGGGTGCTTCTGAATTTTTTTTTATTCTTACGCAGTGTAAATGATAAAACCGATTTTGCCTTATGTGTCAGTAGAGTGATGGGAAACTGCATAATAATCTATGTGCTTGGCCGTGGTTCTTGAAAGGGAATTTGTGTCCTGAGAACACCTTCTCTGGACTCTGTGGAGAGATGGTCTATTGGAGTCGTTATGAAGGATAATTCCATGCAGTTGTTGGGGAAGGGTAGGGATTCTGAAAGTAGTGGGTAGTAGCTCCAGGGGGAACTTGGCAAGGACTAGCTCAAGAAATATTGGTGTATGCATTCCTAGAACTTCCCTAATCTTTGGTCACTGAAGTAGGACAATAGTGAATGATTTCCAAATAGGAAGTTGACTAAGTGAGGTCCTTGAATGGCTCAAGGGTGAAACTGTATGATCATTACTGGATTTAATCATATCATGTATAACCAGAGTATTGGATTGATTAATTTAAAGAGAAAACCTTACTATAGGTGCAGCACTACCTCGTAAAAATGGAAGTTTGCATTGATCTCATGAGCATCTGTACTGTAAATTTCCACTGTGTTATATTTAGCAGATAATTGTAAAGCAATTTGCATAACTTAGATGAAATTATTAAGAACTACAACAACGACGACAACATGCCCAGTGTGATCCCACAGGCGGGTCGTCGGGTGTAGCAGACCTTTCCCCTAATCCTTTAAATTATGCATGTCATTCTCTTTATATTGCTTTATGATTTTTTGAAATAGTTATATTGCTTTATGATTTGGCACTGAGGTGTAACAGTTGTAATTCTTCTCTCTTGTTTTTATGTATGTCAAATCTTGCAGAGTCTTTTAAATAATTCATCTTAGGTTAGCACATGCTTCGATGCAAGAGTTCAGATAAATGACAAATAAATTCATCCTGATCTTCTCCGTTACCCTTTGATTTGCTGATGGAGATATCTTTGTTGGATACAGGTTTCTGGAGGTGCTAATTCGCCTTCTATGGATCCTGCTATTGTAAGACTTGAACTTGGTCTGGTTGATACATATCTCAGTCTCTGTCGGTTCGAGTGGCAGGCTGGGTACAGAGAGTTGGCTACTGCCTTGTTTCAGGCACAGATTGAATACAGCTTGTTCTGCCCTTCTTTACTTCTTAGTGAGCAAAGTAAGCAAAGATTATTTGAGCATTTCTGGAACAGTAATGGTGCCAGGGTTGGGGAAGATGGTGCACTCGGCTGGTCAAAGTGGCTAGAGAAAGAGGAAGAGCTGAGGCAAAGGGCTATGAGGGAGGAGTCTTCACATGATTCTGAAAAGGGTGGTTGGACTGGTTGGTCAGAACCATCATCTAAAAGTAAAGAAAAGAATGAAGCTATAGAAAATATAGCAGAGACTGATGGTGCTCTTGACGAGTTAGAAGATGAATCTGAAATGAAAGATGATGTGCAGAAAGATGATACTGAAGCTTTGCTTAAAATGCTTGGGATTGATGCTACTGCTGAAGCTAATTGTGAGATTAAAGACACAAGAACTTGGACTAGGTGGTCTGAAGAAGAGGTAGCAAGAGACTCTAACGAGTGGATGCCAGTCCATGCTAAAAGTAATCCTCTTTCTCCCTCCCTTCTTTATTCCACTCCTTCATTTGCTAATTAAGTATTAAAGCACTTTTTGGGACGAAATATTAAGTGAATGAATTGCATGAAGAGAGGCCATCATTGACTAATTCATTGAAAATTAACAAATTAAGATACAGTCTGAACAGAGAAATATCAAAGGTTGATCTTTTTTTTTTTGAGAACGGTTACTGTTGTTTTCCTCAGCATTTAGGATTAAATGCTGGAGACCTTCAAAAAAGAACATAAAGTATAAAAACTTAAAAGAAACAGATTTACAAAGCTCCTAACAAGTCTACAAGATCTTCTACTTCCTCTATACATTACTCTTTACACGAAATATAGAAAGATATAGTACAATTGCATTTCACTAAGTATAGATCTTGAACTGACTGATCTAAGTATCAATGGACTGAGTGTGTTTCCAAGTGATGAATTGCTGCCTGTCTCATTTTTCTCTTCTCGCATTAGCATCTGTTGTCTGAGGTAGAGAACTAATTCCTGATGTATTTATGTTTTAACAGCTGGGATTTCTCATAGTGAGGATCCTGCTGATGCAGAGGGTGATGAGCAGCTTTTGAGAGTAATAGCATACGAAGATTTGAGTGACTACCTGTTCTCGATAATTTCTGAAGAAGCACGTTTTTCCCTGGTATCCCAGTTCATTGATTTTTATGGTGGGAGGATGGCTCAATGGTTCGTTTCTTATCTTGAATATTATATTGACTTCTCTAGTGATCACATTGATTTTACTAGATATCAGTCATACATGTCATATTGCTTCTATTAAAGAAATGCAGAGGTCCATGTACATTTTAGAATAATTCATGGTTGAGGATCTATTTACCGTGTGAATGTATCTGGATAGAAAGGGTGATGTTTTTCTAGCATACTTGGGAAGGATCTCATATTTTATCTTTTAACTCTGAGAACCAAGCTTAACTGTCGCATTTACAATTATGGTTGAATGATGCTATCTAGATTCAGCTTGGTTCCTGTATAAAGTCTTGAGCTTGCTGCGACTTGGTGAGCCTTAACTTTCGGCACTTGTGCTCGACTAGCTAGGATCATCCTTTTATGTCCTTATACTTTTTCCTCCTGGAAGCGGCAGTAAATTGTTAAGTTATATCCATGTATCAACTGTTTTAAATTTTACCCTCTAGCATTGGATACCGGATAGTTAATGTTTTCCTTAAGAATATAAAGCACAGTATTTTGGTCAATACCCTGAATCTCCCCTGCTCCTTTTCAGTTTTGAAGGGAAGCAGTCATTATTGAAGTTGACATTATATGCAGAAATATGGGTTTTGGATAGTTCTATGAACTTTTAAGGCTTAAGTTTAGTTTCTGTCCCTCTCTCTGTAAGTCTCTGGAGTTACCGATTTTCATTTAGAGGCAAAGGGAACCTAGATGGAGAATAGGAAGTTTCTTAATATACACATTCTGATAATCGTTTCTAAATTGCAGTCTGCAATATGAAATCAAGGATTCAGAGAGGACAGCAAACTATGATTAGGAGAAGGATCCACTAAAAACTTGATGCTTTAAAAAATGTTTTTTCCCTGTGACATTCAATTAGGTTTTCCTTTTTCTTGGTTGCTGAGAGTGAATTATTTTTTCATTGATAAGTAAAGATACATAAGTTGCTGAGAGTGAGTTCTAAGTCACAGACTCTTATATTTTAGTTTCTCTATCATTTCAAAAGATATTGTTTGATATTTTGCTTCTCTGTATTACTGTGGTTCTTTTTCTTTGACGAAGGATGCTATTAATTGAGGGAAGCCACATGGAGGTGCTTGGTAAACTAGCACAGGGAAGGAATGAAACAAGAGGAACATAATTAGTTGTATGCAACTTACTTTCTTTTAATGCGTGCAGGACTTGTACAAACAGTTCAAGTTGGGCTGAAAAAAGCCTTAGTTTGGAGGCAATTCCAGACTCTCTCTTTGATGAACTAAGAAGAATGCACGATGTTTTAACCAAGGAAGGAAGGAACCAAACTGAAACAAGTTTGGAGCAAGTTTTTAGCAGCTTTGATGATATCTCTATGAGGACTAGCATGATGGGATTTATTCGAAATGCTACATTGCTTTGCTGCACTATATTTCCCCAAAATCATATTTTGGAAGAAGCTGTTCTTATTGCGGAGGAGCTATCAAATACAGTGATGAATACTTCTAGCTGTTCAGTAACACCATGTCGAACTTTAGCAAAAAGCCTTTTGAAGAGTAACCGTCAGGTATATCTTTTAACTTTTATATGTCTTACTGGTCAGGCATTCTGTGTATGTGGTATATTCACTTGATTTTTAAATATTAGAGTGCATGTCTTCAATGTTTCATATCGCTAATGACTTTTAAATAAAATAATTGCATTGCAAATAAATTTAAAGGTAATTTTAACAATAAAGAAATGGGAACTCACTTTCAGTGGTACTGAGACTGTCTATACCACTACCCTTTATCAAGCTCGTTTACAAGAGTTCTGGCTTTCCCAACCACACAAACTTCTAGGAAATAAAATTTCTTTCCCTGATTATATTTTATATATATGCGGTCGTAACCTTGCTACTCTTACTTCCACTAGCAAGAAAACTTCTGCTCGTAACATACCCCTTTCCGTGGTTGTATGAAATTGTTGTGTAAGAACATTGATGCACAAATAGTGGTCCCATTAGTGACAATAGCTTATTGAGGTTTCGTAAGTCCTCATTAAAAAGGTGCTTGTTTGTTTAACTGAGGTGTCAGCTTTTTCTCCCTTTCGTTTTGTTTTCTTTCTTTAAAGCTGGACAGTAAATCATGTGTAATTTTTATGGTCTTCTGTCAATTCCTTTAAACTTTATTGCATAGGTTGGAGATTGATCAGGATCTCATGTGATAGTTTACCTTATTGCTTTATTAGGTGCTTAGAGACGGTAACAGTGTGATAGCCTGATAAGTGATAGACTTGATATTGATTTGTATCCTCTCTCTTGGCCCCTGCCTCTCCCAAGGATTATCATTTTTGTTCCTTTGCTTTTCATTTGTCCCTGTTCACCACAAAATTCTTTTTTTTTTTAAAGTTTGTGTCGCCAGTAGATTGTATTATATTTTTTGTGCTTCTGATGTCTTTGTTGGGTTTAAGCCTTTAGGTGAAAGCTATGTGTTTGTCTTTTACATTTTTTGTTCTTACAGGATGTATTGCTTTGTGGAGTTTATGCACGAAGGGAAGCAGTTTTTGGAAATATTGACCATGCTAGAAAGATTTTCGACATGGCATTGTCTTCTATTGATGGACTTCCTCAGGTACATTCTATTTCCTGTTTAACTTGATATTGACATGGTATCCCTTCGTTGGAAGAGGTGTCTTTTCAACCTGCCCTATGATTCTGTAAGAGGCAGTCTTCTAGCAAAATGCTCAAATCACCATTTCCTTCACCATGAAAAAAGGTTATCCTAGCCCACAGTTTCTCAGGGAATCTCAGTCGGTTATTAGTCTTAGTTCTTGCTGGTTAATTTTCATTAGCTTCCTACATATTGTTTTTGTCATTTGATGTTGTAATATTTCTTTATTTTATTGAATGTTACGAGTTTCAAAAAAAAAATTACTTTATTTTATTGAATTATCAGGGTGTTCAGACAAATGCATCTCTCTTACATCTCTGGTACGCTGAAGTGGAGATCGCAAACGGTATTCATGGTGGTTCCGGATGGTCTGAATCGTCTTTACGTGCTATGCATATATTATCTTGCTTGGGTAGTGGTACAAAATACAGTCTGTATAGATGTAAACCCTCAAGCCTGCAACAGCTGAAAGCACGCCAAGGATTCAAAGAACAAGTGAATATGCTACGTTCATCATGGACACGCGGTTTAATTGATGATAATTCAGTTGCTCTCATATGTTCAGCTGCTTTATTTGAAGAAATAACAATTGGATGGACTGAAGGTGTTCAGATTTTAGAGCAAGCATTCACAATGGTGCTTCCTGGTATTCAGTTTTTTCACTGCCCGTCATTTTCTCCTTTTTAAACCTGAAAGTTTGTGTCCTTCAGATCTTGCTGTAGATAACTGCACCTGTTTGCTTGTTGGTTTAAGATTGCTTGGAATTGAGATGTAGTCCCTTAGTTTTTATTTTATAATGCAATTACCCTTCACTTAATAATAACAATTTTTATGAGAAAAAATTGTTACTTATGGCAGGTGGAAGTACTGGAACTTTCCAGTTTGTATCTTATTTAAGTATTTGTATAATAAAATTAGTTGTCTTCATAATAATTGAAGATACATCTTATCTCTTACTGAAGACAGTGGGGACGTCTTACTGTTTCAACCTTTTATTAGTATTACCGGAAAATATTCATTATCTTTTTGAGAAAAGATTTATTTTGCAATATTGAGAAGAAATATTGTTCGTTGTGTTAGAACTTTCGAGATGTTTCTTTACCTTTCCACAAAACTAGCTTGAAGGTTGTTGAAATTGACAAGGAAAATATAAGTCATATCATGACATTTATGTGTAGGATGAACTACATTTTCTTTGAATTTGATTTTTTGAGCATTGTTTTTTATACCCTCAGTTCTGGCTCTCTAAAGCTATTGCACAATTCATTTTAAAAAAAAAAGAAATGGTCTTACCTAAAGAATGTTAAGGGTAAATTGTGTTCTTTGGTGATACTAAGGGTAAATGTAAAGTTACATTAAGGCTGGATCTTCATGTCTCCATATTTGTTTTCTATATTGTTTCCCGTTGCTCCCCTTCATGAATAGTATTAATGCTTGAACAATTTATGTGCCATTATTTTGTAATATCACATATGATGGTAAATATGTTGTTGTAATTGGTACTTTAATGAATAATAGTATATTATTATGAATATTGTTTCTTGTTGCCCTTCTCTAAAAAATGTTTTTTTTTTTTAAAAATAATTAACAAAATAGCCACTTCATCATTTCCTTGCTTCACGGACAGAAGCTACCACTTCATTCACTTCACATCTATTCACCCTCCAGAAGCACTGAATCCTCGCCTCACTCTTGCTTTTAACACACACACACACCCACACTCTCTTTTTTCAACTTACAGTTCCAGGAGAATTTTTTCCCTAATCAATGAAAGCACTAGTTAAATCTGTCTTATTTAACTTGTCTGATTTGTGTATCTGAAGAAGTGGAAACCAATGAAAAGACAAATATGATTTGATTTGTATGCTTATTTGGATCAAGGGGCTGTTTTCTTTCAGATTGTGATCATGGAAAGTATCCGTAATTAGATTCTCAAGCCACTGGTGTAATATTTAATGATTTTTTCTCATCTGGGTTTGCTTAAGAGGTCTTCAGTATAGATGTTAGTTGGATACAAGTCCACTATTTGGAGTATTTACATATATGTTCAGATTAGTCTCGATAGAGTAGGAGTTAGGACTATATTCAACATGGACGGTCTAGGATTTGAATTTTATAGGTTTTGAGTTCAGAATTCTACCACAATTCATTTGATTTGCTAGGTTCAAAATCAATTATTTCTACTTGTGTAAATTTAACACATATACAAGGTCCGGAAACCTGAGATCTTGGGATCAGACAAACCCATAATTTACACTCTACATCCACCCCTGATATTCAATGCGATGAAACTCCACCAGATATACTAAAGAGTTCATACACTTAACATGTTGTATATATCCATGCTAGTTGATGAGAGGGGAGGTATATCTGAATTATTCCTTCATTTATTTGTAAATACTACTAAAAACTAAAACTTGAACTGGCAGTAGTAACTACGTGTAAATCCTCCAAGATACATGTAAGATAAGTCAAGTTATCCTTGTTGGACATAGTACATACCATTCTGTAGTTTGGTGTTGAGAATATAATGAACTGATAAAAGTGTGCTCTCTCTAACTGTAACAACTTAAGCTTTTAGATGAGATGGTCACACACTTCAACATGGTATCAGAGCAGTCTGAGGTCCTGGTAACGAATCTCACCGCCGCCCATATCAAAAAGAATTTCCATGTGCTTGGTCCATGGAAAAGAATTAGGCCCGCACGTGAGGGGGTGTGTTGGGAATATAATTAACTAATAAAAGTGTACTCTCTAACAGCTTAAACTTTTATTTGGAATTCCTCTCCTCCACACCTTCACTCTGAAAAATTATAGAAGTCAATATGCTATTTGTATATTTGTTTTTGTTTTTATATAAGGAATACAATGTGCTGTTTGTTAATCTTTTTACAATGAAATTGTGTTATGAATTGGTAATTTATGTACTTTAATCTGATAGATCTCTTTTTGATGGAATATTATCATCTTACTGATGGTTACTGCAATGACCTTACTGTAGAAAGGAGGCGGCACAGTCATCACTTGGAGTGTTTGTTCAACTTTTACATGAGGATGCTTTGCAGACATCATCAAGAAATGAAGCTGTCAAAATTATGGGAATATATAGTGACAGGACTGGATATATATCCTTGCAGTCCAAATCTTTATAATGCATTAGTTGAAATTGGCCATCTCTATGCATCACCTAATAAGCTACGGTGGATCTTTGATGAAAAATTCCAAAAGTATGACCTTCTAAACCTTTTCCTCCAGTTCTATGTGACATACAGTAGTCACAGTCAGAAATCTTTCACATATGCTAAGTTTCTTTGATCACTACTACTTCAATATTCTTGTTTTAATAGCTTCAGAGGGTCTAGGAATTTTGTATGTGCTAGTAAGACCATTATGTTGTCTATAGTTAATTATTAAGAACACTCACATTTGAAAAGGAATTTGGTCCCAAAAATGCTTTAATAGGAAATTATGTTTGCTGGTGCCTGTAAAATTTAGAAATATTCAGATTCCCCCTAGGGCTTTTTTCTAGTGGTAAGAGTGTAGTGCTTGATGTGTGGGTTTAGGCGCACGTCACGTGTTCAATGTTGCCACAAACAAATCCTGGTATCTAAGTGAGAAGGGCAGAGAGTTGGGCCCATCATCCATAGAGAGTCTTGAACCATGCACCACTGTTTCTTCAGGGATTTCTAGGTTATCAAACCAAGTATTGGTTGTCATAAAAAAAAAACAAGTATTGGTACTTCATTTCAATAACACTATCAGTCTATCCTCAATTTCAAACTAGGTGTGGTCGTCTATGTGAAATATTGATGCTCTAAGGACTTCTCAACAAGTTTTCTTAGTTGATTTTATTACTCCCTCTCTTCCAAAAAAAATGACATTATTTCCTTTTTAGTTCGTTTGAAAAGAATGACACCTTTCTAAATTTGGAAATAATTTAACTTGAACTTCTCATTTTACCCTTAATGACAGGTTTTTATAGTCACACAAATGTTATGACATGTTTGAGACCACAAGTTATAAAGTGTTTTAGCCGCACAAATGTTATGACATATTTAAATCACAAGTCCAAAAGTCTTTCTTAAACTCCATGCCCATTCAAACTACGACATATTAATGGAATTTATGGAAACGGAGGGAGTATTACTTTTTATGTGGCTAAGTTTGCAATCTGACTTTCAAATGCATGTCTATATATGTGTTTTTATGTCTGAGTGCTCGTTAAAAGATCTTTTTGCTAAGTTGGAACCCTAAACCCTAAAGCATGTATTATAGAAGGTCTTTAGCCCCCAAGGCCTAGCTCGAGTGGCAAAAGGTGGAGGATTTGTGGCTTAGGTCGCAGGTTCAAGCCCCACACCATGCAAAGCGAAGCCCGGTACTTGAGTGGAGAAGAGTAGAGGGGCGGGCCCATTATCCACCGAGTTTAGAAGGCTGTGATTGGTCCAAAGGGCGGGTCACAGACGGATTTCTCAGTTATCAAATTTTTTATAGAAGGTCTTCAATACCAAGTGTTCTGCCTCTTTCTTTTTGGAGAGGCTTATAATGGACAATTAGATTTAAGTTTCAACCCCCCCTAATCAGTCAAGTCAAAAATGAAATAAAAGAAATAGGATGACACCTTTTTTTGATGGTATTATAGACTCTCTCTTGGTTGGATTTGAAATCTATCCTTTTGAAAGCAGATGCAGAAAAAATATATATCTCACGTGTAGCTGTTTAAAGCTGTCTTTATAATTTTCCATCTTTCAAAGATTTAAGTCTCTGTTTCTTGTGTCCTTTGCTTTAACTTTCAGGAAACCTTCGCTTGTTGCTTGGCTCTTTGCATTATCATTCGACATGAGCAGAGATGGTTCAGAGCATAGAATACGCAGACTTTTTGAGAGGGCATTGGAGAATGAGAAGCTACGTAACTCAGTTTTAGTCTGGCGCTCGTATATTGCTTATGAAAGTGCTATAGCATGCAACCCTTCTGCAGCTAGAAGAGCTTTCTTTCGAGCCATCCATGCTTGCCCATGGTGAGTATATGTCTGTAATGTGCTGTAACAGTGAAGTAAAAGCAGGATAAAAAATACCATAATATTAAGGGTAGTTTGTAACCCAGACAGATTCAACAATCAGTTAAATTTTTATTGCTGTGTTTTCTAATAACCTCATTTCTGTTGCTCAAAATTTGCTCAGGTCAAAACGGCTCTGGCTTGATGGCTTCATCAAGTTAAATTCTGTTCTTACAGCAAAAGAGTTGTCGGATCTCCAGGAAGTAATGCGGGATAAAGAACTCAATTTGAGGACAGATATTTATGAAATACTATTGCAAGATGATCTTGAATCTTAAGTCATGAATATCAAGATTTCTTCAGTTGTGGATGGGTAACATGCCCGTCATATGACACACTCACATTCTGCCACATGGCTTTTTTCAGCGCAAAACTTTGAAGCACCTGATCTTGGTTGGTTTCGGATAAGGCTGTAAGTGATGCCTTTGCTCTTGGTATATGCTGATTACTGTCGAGTTGTGAGTGGAAAGGAAGATTTCTTTTTGGTGAAAACAGAAAATGTACATTTTTGTTGGTGTATTACTTGTGCCATTAGTTGTATGACAGCCTGGTGCTGCCTTTTCATATCAAAATTAAATCAGTTGCTAATAGTGGTCCATTTGTAACTTGCTAAGTGCATGATTGTGGTGTTAGCTCCCCTTTTTGATGATATGCTTCAATGTTCTACCAACAGTAGAAGAATTAAGCAAAAAGAGGAGAAATTTTATCTTGAGGATTACAGGAAACGTATCTCCTTTCCCTTCACTCTATATTTCTCTGGTGTCTCTACGTTACTTTTTGTACCTTCACCTTTTCTCTTCTTTTTTAACAGTTTGTGAAGGAACACACCGTCATTATTATTGTCAAAATGCAGTTGTCTTTACCTCCCCCTTTGATAGTGATCTTTAATGTTTGAATGAACTGCCTTGTTTTTTTTTCCTCAGAGTTGTTGACTGATGAACTTCTCGATTGGCACTACCAAAAGGCCATCAATGTGGTTATTATGTTATGCAGTGAGAAAGACACGCAAACCATCCTTTTATTCCTCTAGGGAGCCACTTCCTTGCGACCGTTCCCAAGCAAACTTTGCATCGCATGGAACGCACCACAGTTATGTGAGCCTCTGGTTTCGTTTATTACCTTAGCAATATTTGTAGGTGTACATTTGATAAACACTATAGTAGTAAAATGTACACTTGGAAAGCCATTGTCACATATTCTTCGATTCAAGTCTTACCTATCCCCAATCTTGGATCCTCAATATCTTGAATTGGTTGATTGATCTTTGTTAATTTCGAGTTGCATAATATGATAGGTTATGCTATATTACAGTAGGAGGTTTTCTGCCAGACACCATGGGATTGGAGAGGTTAAATGTTCGTTTGAGTTTCATCTGGCTTCAGGACCGCAGCATCAAAGTTACAGACCTCAAAAGTCCGTGGGAAGTTTAAACAAGATACCCCATCACCAGTTTCTATCGCTGAAATAAATATATCTCTGGAAACTTGCTTACAATGGTTCGCACCTGATAATCAACCATTAAAACACAATCAAAATACACCTAAGACAACAACTTGTCGGCAACTGCTGGGAAAATGTTCAATTCACTCAGGTTTCTTCATCGACTTGAAATCTTCAAAGTCATTTCTGTGACTTTCAAATACAGGCTTGACCATCTTTTGAGCTCAGTTACATATTTGAAACATGCATCTCCTATCTATCTATTAAAAGATCAAACCCAAAGAACAGCAGACGGCAATCCTATATACTTAAATTTCCTCATCCTCAAAGGGATCTTTTTCGGGATAGTCTCCAATCTGCAATATAAAAGATAAAGAGTCTACGTTAAAAGGTCAGATTTAATGTAATTTACAACACTACCATAAATAATTTCACCTTTTCATTCCAAAACATTTTTAGGGGAAGTTGGTCGAGGGAGGGATGCAGTCGTTTTCCAGTAAGCATTTCTAATTTCTTGACTAGTTTATGAAAATGCAATTTCAAAAAATTTAGCCTTGGTTTAGCCAGATTAATTGAAGTCAAATACTCACTCTGTTCTGCAACTCCCATAATCACAAAACCCTAGTTAATGTTTAATGCCTAATCTATTAATAATTAGAGGAGCTACATCCCGTTTTTGGCTTTAGTAGCCTGTGCCTGCCTGAACAGATTAGTCTAGCTTCCTCGTTTTATACATCTTTCAAAGCACACTGAAGTTGAATGTTTGTTCACCACTCTTTCACATCTCCAAATTCTCATATCATGATTCATGGATGCTCCTAAATCAAGATTCCATAACTTGTATATGCAGAGCTACTAACTATACTTTTGAAGGTAATAAGTGTGAATATATTCATCTTAGGAAAGGTAGAACCGTCACATTTCAACGCAAAGCATGAAACAGGTACTGGCAAGTTTATTAGGGCATTGGAATTATGACAAAGATACCACTTGTACAAACCTTTACTTTGTCTGGTCGGACAATTGCACCATGAAGGGGAGGGCAGTCAAAGTAACGTTTCCCTTTAACCCTGAGAAAATATGAGAATAATTTGGTTTAGCTGCAGCAATTACTATAGACACCGTGAGACAGTCTTTCAAATATAACATTTCTTCAGAAGTAAAATTGCAAGTATGGAGTAAGAAATCAGAGTCAAAAAAAGAATTGTTTGTCCTCCAATGCACAAGGCAAGAATTTCTAGGAAAAAGGATTTTGCAGCAAGGGACCTTCAGAGGCCTCTGGCCAAGTATTGTACTGTATAGTGCAGCAGAGCAGGGATAATTTGCTACTCAGGATTACGTGAGTTCCATATGCCTTGTTACCTATCAATCATGTCCTATATTTCAAAATTCCAATTTTCCGTTTGATACATTATTTTCTTCTCATAAAATGAAACTTATCCTGACCCCTTGTGGAAGCAAGATCTGATATCACGATCTCACATAGATTATGCACCGTCCGTGCTTTGGCAGTAACTCTAACTTATAACCCTGTTGGAACTATTGAGCTATTCCATTCCTCTAGATTCTCTAGCATCCCAATAGTTCAAATACAACACTGTTTTCTTCTCCTTTTTCTAATTAATTTAGTGAATGCATATAACAATAGCTAGTGCACCAGTACCTGCTCCCCACCCCACCTCCACCACCCCATCCCACCACCACAAGAAGAGGAGACAGTCACATTTCACCAATTTTGGAACATCAAATGTGTACAGTCAATTGATTAACTATTTAGTTAGACCTAGAGAAAAAGAAACCTATATGGTGCAGCTGGAGAACAGGATAGCAAACACCAGATTGAGTTTGGCCATAACAGAAGGAACAAGGTATCTAGTTTATTATCTAAAATTTCCTTCAAAATAATTAATGCAACTAAAGATAGATTAAGCTTGTGGATGCAAGGACTGAATCTGTAGGTCATCATCAATATACATTGGATACACAAGTAGTAATTATAATTACTAAATGGATAGAGCACCAAAGATTAAACAAGAACCATGGATCAAGGAAATGTTAAGACACCAAGAAATTTAAAACTTGGGCAATAAAATTAATTTCTGACTATAAAAAGCACCAAGGGCGAAGAGCTAGCTCACTCATATTCTACAGATCAAAGTGGGACATCTAGACATGACAAAATTTTATAAATCAAGGATTGGGTCAAACGAGCCAATACAAGGTCTCTCCTTAGTGGAGTCCATATGATCTTTCACTGGGAGGCAACTAAGTCATTCAAAAAACCTGCATAGCACATGCTTCCTCAAAGAAAAAACTCTCTCCTGCTGGTAACCGCTATTAAAATATATGTATTGCTACTTCAAACTAAGATTTTAAATGAGAAGTTTGTGTTACTGACGTACATGCCATCATGTTTTCCTACTGGTTCATCAAACTGAACTCCAACCCAAAACCCAGGTGCAAGTGTTTCTGCCTGACCAACAAATTTGACCGTGCCTCTTCTCTCTCCAGGTTCAACTTCACATCTGTCCCCTATCTGCTTTCACGAAGAAAACAAAAATGGTATTCAAACAAGTTAACAATAACACTAAATTATTATTATTCTGGGCCAGGAAAAGTAAACTTGAAGAAAGAAAAATAAAGAAAGAAGTACTGAGAAGAACACAACACCTGCACCATCACTACAAAAAGAAAAAGGGAAGAGAAAAACAGAAAGGAAAAGGAGAAATTTTAACAAATTTAACAATTAAAGCACCTATTCAAGCTTATTGAGACCTAAGACTTTGAAGGGTAGGTTCAAAAGATAGTTGGTTGTCGCCTTATATAAACCATAACAGAACCACAAGTCTGCCATAGTTAGCTGGTATCACTCATTTGGAACATTGAAACCAAATTAGTATACTTTTCTTTTACAAATAGTTTGTAACATGTGTGACAGGTAGTCACACAAATAAATATATTGACAACCTACTATCAAGTATCAGCAATGACAACTGAGAAATGAAAGGAGAAGCTTACTAGAGATTATGTATCTTTAACTTACTTACAACTATCAAATGATCCATTCAAGCTTGTTTATCTTTTCTAATTTAGGTTGGAGGAGCTTTTCGTCGTAGGAAAATACATTGTCCGAAATTGTTTTAAAGGTCGTATGGATACAGGAAATTAATTTGGCTATATAGTTAAAGTCAAGTATTTTATTTTGTTTATCACTCTTCTACCGCAATCAGCACACAAACTCTCTGTTACAGCAAGAGGTAGTGTATACATAAATGTACATAAGAAGTAATCCTCAATTACTGTATAATTAAAAGGTTCATGTGAGAAGACTGAAGTATGGTCAAGGATGTATTTACTACTTTAATATGATTAAGCAATAGACATATTAAGAAGTTGGAAAGGGAACTGCAATAAAGATGGAGATCAACTAACCTTGATATTTGCGCAAAGATCTTCACTGTTGTTGTTGTCAGATATCTGTTTGACAAAGCCAAGTGGGGAAATGAATAGAGTTGCAAAATATAGCAATCGTGGCATAAAATTGAAAAGTAAAAAGTTAAGTGATGGGAGATATCCAGTGCCAAATATCTCTCCTCAAAAGAAGCAGCAAGGCGAGGAACTAGCTATATTTCAGTGTCAATGAAGAATGAAACGGAGAAAGAGGGGATTGCATCCTTCCTCTTTTTTCCAGAAGAAGTGGGTAGCAGTCCAGGATATCTGGGAGAGAAAGGGCGAAGTGGTGGAAGGGTTTCGAGGCTAGATCTTGTCAAGTAAAAGTGGTAGCTCTGAGGATGGATTGGGAGGGAGACTTCTTCTTTTTATTAGATAAAACAGGGTATTTTATATTGTTGCATCAGGAATATATGTACAGCATGATCTAGCAACTTAGTGGCATTACTCTCCACCACGTATTATCGGGAAAATATAATAGGATTGTAGGGTTAATTTGGAGAGAGAGTTAAATTTTCTCAAACAGCATAGCTATTTAAGATCCTTAGCAGTAAGCAATGACCTAGTAAATTAGAGGGGAGGTCCAAAATGTTGTGTTAAATTTGAGCAGAAGTCTTAAGAATTTTACCTTCATGTTTTTATTAACACTTGAATATTAGTAGAAAAACTTACTTTAGATTCTTGACCAGGCGGTTGCTTAAGCGGCAATGTTTCCTTGAATTTTCTGAAAGTACCTAGAAAGTCGCAACAAACTTTTCAACGCTAGGATCCATCACAGATAGCTTCATGACATCACCAGGGAAATCATTACTAGTCTAGATAAATACAGAGGGAAGTGTGAACAATGTCTAAGTTTAAGTTTCAGCAGTCAGCTTAACTTTGTTGAATCATACTATTTAAGATATTTGCTAGCAGATGATGACGAGTGAAGGTTGCTGCATAGCTGCCTAGATGGGCCTCTAGAAGAAGGAAGACTATACAT